ATATATATATATATATATATATATATACACATACACACACACATTATATATATTAGCATTAATATTATTATTATTTAATTTCTTCTCATTACAGTTACAAAAGTGATTTAGTCAAAAGCAGTGAGAGATTTTCTCTCACTGTTGTTTGATTAATGGCAGACAGGATGAATATTGCAATCTTTTAATAGAGCAAAACAGAAAATATTTAAATTTCTTACTAGACAACAAAACAACCAATATTTCAATGTCTTAACAGAGCAAAACAACCAATATTTCAATGTCTTAATAGAGCAAAACAACCAATATTTCAATCTCTTAATAGAACAAAACAACCGATATTTAAATCTCTTAATAGAGCAAAACAGAAAATATAAATATTTATTACTAGAACAAAACAACCAATATTTAAATCTCTTACTAGAACAAAACAACTGATATTTAAATCTCTTACTGGAGCAAAACAAACGATATTTAAATCTTTTAATAGAGCAAAACAGAAAATATAAACATTTCTTACTAGAACAAAACAACCAATATTTAAATCTCTTAATAGAAAACAACCGATATTTAAATCTATTAATAGAGCAAAATAACTGATATTTAAATCTATTAATAGAACAAAACAACCAATATTTCAATCTCTTAATAGAACAAAACAACCGATATTTAAATCTCTTAATAGAGCAAAACAGAAAATATAAATATTTATTACTAGAACAAAACAACCAATATTTAAATCTCTTACTAGAACAAAACAACTGATATTTAAATCTCTTACTGGAGCAAAACAAACGATATTTAAATCTTTTAATAGAGCAAAACAGAAAATATAAACATTTCTTACTAGAACAAAACAACCAATATTTAAATCTCTTAATAGAACAAAACAACTGATATTTAAATCTCTTACTGGAGCAAAACAAACGATATTTAAATCTTTTAATAGAGCAAAACAGAAAATATAAACATTTCTTACTAGAACAAAACAACCGATATTTAAATCTATTAATAGAACAAAACAACCAATATTTCAATCTCTTAATAGAACAAAACAACCGATATTTAAATCTCTTAATAGAGCAAAACAGAAAATATAAATATTTATTACTAGAACAAAACAACCAATATTTAAATCTCTTACTAGAACAAAACAACCGATATTTAAATCTCTTACTGGAGCAAAACAAACGATATTTAAATCTTTTAATAGAGCAAAACAGAAAATATAAACATTTCTTACTAGAACAAAACAACCGATATTTAAATCTATTAATAGAGCAAAATAACTGATATTTAAATCTATTAATAGAGCAAAATAACTGATATTTAAATCTATTAATAGAACAAAACAACCGATATTTCAATCTATTAATAGAGCAAAACAACCGATATTTCAATCTATTAATAGAGCAAAACAACCGATATTTCAATCTATTAATAGAGCAAAACAACCGATATTTCAATATTTTAATAGAGCAAAACAACCGATATTTCAATCTCTTAATATAGCAAAACAACCGATATTTAAATCTATTAATATAGCAAAACAACCGATATTTAAATCTTTTAATAGAGCAAAACAACCGATATTTAAATCTATTTATAAGTTAAATGTCTGACTTTCAGAATATTGTTTCTTCAGTCGGCTTCTAGACAGTTATATTATGTTGCGACTGTCGTCGGGTCACTCCCCACTAGAGCTGTCAAAATGGATAAACTACATTCAAATTTTGTTCTTAAATATTATCAATATTCGAATTATATTCGAATTTAAAAGGCATAATTTCAGTTAGGGGGAAAAAAAGCTTTTGGCTTCTCTCCTGAGTCCACAAGAGGGCGCATCGAGCAAAATATCACAAATGCACGTTTATTCAAAGCAATAAAATAACACAACTATCTTCGAAAAAAAGTGCATAATGTTTAAAATAATGTCTATAAACCATATATAATTAATTACATTGCTTAAACAATTAGAAACAAAACAGCATCATGTATGTATAGTTTAATACAAAGGACCGAAAACCAAATCACAAAGAGTACTTTTTTCATTTAAAAACATGAGATGCGTTAGGATGGGGGAAAACCACCATAAAGTCTCAAGAAATGTTTTTTAAAAGTTGAAGTTATATTAATTTTACATGGCTTTCTAAACATGCGGCTCTCTTGTGCGAGACGCGAGTGCAACGCTGATAGATATCCCTCTAAAAAAATGCTATAAATATGCGTTCTGTGTGAACGGCTTGGTTTCAGTTTTGACGTAAACAACATCTCCACAATGTTCTCTTTTTCTGCAATATTTTGAATGAACAACGCAGCAGCGCCGAATCCAGTGGGTTCAACTGGATAGACTAACAAAAGCATTCAAATGCAATGACACTTACATCGTCATGGCATCTTGTGTGCCACTGATAAGGCTGCCTGAAGCACACCTAAAATTCGAATGCAACGTTTTTGCATTGGATTTTTATTTTAAATTCGACAAATACTCAAAATTAGCCCTACTCACCATCCAAGCAGGTAACCCGTGGTAGTAAAGCTGTCCGGTGGTGATGAAATTCCACAGAGGGCTGTTGGGTAAAGCGTTAAAGTCCCCACATAAAACCACCTCACAGCGTCTTCCTTCACTCCTGCATTTTTTGATCATGATGTCAATTTCAGCAAACACGATGGCCAGCTGGGCGAGCTTCACATCTCCTCTCCTGGGGTTGAACAGCAGGTGTGTGTTGGCCACACATATGGGGCTGAACGCTTCATTCTGCCCTGCCATCGGCTGGAGGAGCAGCACAATGCCCACGTTGTCACGATCTAGCAGCTCACAGTCCGATTGGCGAAACTCCAGCAGATTGATGGAAAGCTGGGTAAAGCGGTCGCTGTGATAACACACCGCACAGCCATCCGTTTTGGTCCCAGTGCGGCGTTTGTAGATGCAGGTGTAACCTGGGTAAAAAAAAAAGTTCAATTGTTAATTGTCATTAACAGGAAACAACTTCTGAACACACCTGCAAATTCACAACTTATTACCAGTCTGACTGATTTCAACCAACAAACAAAGCTCTCAAATCTTATTTCCAGCCATGCATGTTAAAATCTGCATTTGGATTCGATGGCTTAGTATGCAAATGACACAGTCCAATTGTAAATGACACGTTCTGGCAAACAGGCTCTTCAAATACAAAATGAAGGTGACGTCTGAACTGCTGGACCCCTTTAATACTGCATTTGGAAGCACAGAGTGAAATGTATTATTAGTTTCGTAATACAGGACACTAAATAAACTATACATATACTATACGCATCTCCAACTTGATCTGCATACATACAGTACACTCACATAAATTGATATATACTATATCAAATTTCAACTGCTTGATTACTTCTATCATCACAAAATGTGAGCTATATTATCATCATGACTTGACTTGTCCTTATCTGCACATCATCGGGTCATTTATTTCATTATGCATGGTGCCATTATCTTCTCCACTGTACAGCTTACATTTGGGCCTGTTCTTCATATAAAACGATTGTATGACGTCAGAAGACGTCATACGATCGTCTGTTTGTATGACGTCTTGACGTATGACGTCTTGACGTTTGTATGACATCTTTCAGAAGACGTCATACCTTCTCCACTGTACAGCTTACATTTGGGCCTGTTCTTCATATAAAACGATTGTATGACGTCAGAAGACGTGCACCAGTCAAATGGACTGTTATGGAGTGCATCGCTTATGTTTGGTTCCTCACCCATGTCAGTCAGGACAGGATAGATCTGCTCTAGGAAGTGATCTTCTTGAACTTCCTGAAGACAAATAATCTGTACAAAAAAGGAAATAATGATATTGCTTCGAACCAACACCAGATATATTTATAGGTTTTGGGTTGTGTGTCGCCTTACGTCAGGTTCCCAGATCTGGAGCTCCTTCAGGATGGTCCGGAGTCGCTGGTCCCACACTAACACTTCCTCTGGACAGTGTGTGTACAGCTGTGGATTTGCTTCTAGCAGATCTTGAGCCAGGATGTTGTAAGACATGATGCTGAAGTCAAACACAGCAGCTGTGTCCCCAAAGGCCCCGGTGTGGGTTTCACTAAGATCCTCCCACACCCGCCACATCACTTCGACATAGAAAAAGCATGATTTTAATGGAAGACTGGGTAGTCAAAACAACTACATAGCACAATATATGAGTAAGTTACACTAGCAGTCAAACATCTAATCTTTAAATAAATAAAAACATTAATATTATGAAATATTACTACAGTTTACATTGATATTACATTACTTTCTGTCACTCACTTCCACATTGTGTTGAATGACAGACACTAGGGGTCACTCTTTGCAGCCCCAAACACCTCTGAGTATTAGTAGTAGTATATTATTATTTAATGCCATGTCAGCACCAAACACCTCTGATGTATTTAGAATAGGCCAATGAAAGTTGGGGAGTGGAGGAATTGTTCGAAGCTCCCGTTTACTTCTGCTGGCCAAAGCACTGAGAGATCTGCACAAGGTTAGTCCTGACCCAGAGGTAATGCATTAACTGTGTTTGGCAACCGTTTATGCTCTACGGACTACAAAGTTTAAGGCACAAGCCCTGGGTCTGACCCAGGAAAAGTTGGAGAGGGCGACAGAGGAAGGGATGACATTTTTTTTAGGGCCAGACACCATCGGGCCTCCGGACCAAGGTAGGTGCTTTTGTACACCGTTTGCCACAATTTCTAAGAGACAAGAGGCCTCCCAACATGGCAGACCTTGCTCCATCTTGCCGCAAGCTACCCAACGTGGATTCGCCGGACATTGTCCCTTTGGTGCCATTAGTGCAGTATCTGGATGCATGGCTAGCGGTGCCCAACCCATCACACTGGCTAATTAGGATGATCCGGCTGGGCTATGCATTCAAATTTGCCAGGTGCCCAGATACTTTGGTGTCCTGTTCACCTCACTAAAAGGTGAGGATGGTGGAGACAAGTCCTCTGCACAATCTGACCTGTGTTGCAGCCTGGAATTAAACCATGCCATGCTGGTTTTGTCTGGCCAAAGGAGAATGAGCCTGGTTTCTCCCAAGGTTTTTTCTCCATTTCTGTCACCGATGGAGTTTTGGTTCCTTGCCGTTGTCGCCTTTGGCTTGCTTAGTTGGGGACGTTTGACTGACTGCACAGACACTATTGGAAGAGAACTGAACTGGATGATGACGACAGCACTGAATCATCAATGGACTGACTTTAGCCAAAGACTATAGAATACCCAAGACATGTCACTCGTATCATTTTGAATGGGGTAAAATGCAACGCTCAATATGGCCACTCGATCAAACGAAGTTCCGCCTTCTGAGTAAAAGAGCCAATCACTAAAGTCATCGCATCACTGCAGCTGCTATTTAGAAGTCCCGCTTGCTATAGAAACACTCTGCATTCTGAGACGTGAGCCTAGGACTGCACATGCGCACTGGCTGGTCTAGCCTGAGAAATACGCTTTTTTAAACGCTATTTAAGCAAAATAAACAACATTTATGATACAGTTTTTGTTAGATTTCATTGGTGATTTCAAATATGAAATTTAATTATAAGCTTGGCGAACAGTTTTGGAGAATTTTTCCAATTCAAAGAGATGGGAGCTGCACTTGCATGCCCGAGAGCCATTTCAAAGATGGCCACCGAGTGACATGACTTGCCTTAAGGGGACTTTGCTTTAGCTGGAAAAATTACTCTTATTGTCCTCTTGCATTATTAACAAACTATTTTCCTGTTTGACACTGTAAAGCTGCTTTGACACAATCAGTATTGTATAAAGCACTATATAAAGGTGACTTGACTTGACATGCTGACGTGTCTCTGACACAAGATAGACCTGAAGGATGTGTATTTTCAGGTCTCGATCCTTCCTCAGCACAGGCTGTTTTCACAGTTTGCCTTCGAGGGACGGCATATCAGTACAAGGTCCTCTCCTTCAAGTTGTCCCTGTCCCCTTGTATATTTACAAAAGTCTTGGAGGCTGCCTTTGCCTTGACAAGGGAAAGGGGCATTTGCAACCTTAACTACCTCTACGACTGGTTAATCCTATCTCACTCTTGAGAGTTGTTGTGTGCTCACAGGGACCTAGTCCTTCAGCAACCAGGAAAACAACTAGCTATCCCCCATGCAGAGCATCGCTTTTCTCAGTGTGGAGTTGGTGGCCATGACAGCATGTCTTTCAGAAGATCCTGATCTGTCACCACACTTTTAGCCCTGGGACAAACCTTGCGTTTCTCTGTGCAGTAGTGTCCTTAGAAAAAGAGTCCAGGGCCTGTATTCACAAAACATCTTCAGGCTAAAAGTAGCTCATAACTCGCCAATTTAGGAGAAAATCTTAAAAATAATGGGCATGTCTGTTCTAAATTTAGGACTCCTACATTTTTGCTCTAGGAGTATTTCAGAAAGCGTTTCAGCACTAAAACTAGCTCCTAAATCTGTGAAGAGTTAGGAGCAGTGAAGAGGACTCCTAAATCACTAAAACCAAGCCACAAACTAACCTAAAATAGCTGTTGCCAGCAATCTGCCTCGGAACGTAAACATTTTAGAAACATTTGACGATAATGAGCTTTTATAAAGGTATCGCCTTTGGTTTTGGAGGTTATCCCAACTCCAAATTTTCCTTTGATTATGTCCTCGTTTTCATTAACCAATTGGGCAAGAAATAACAGCTGTTCTCGTGTCTAGTTTGGTTTTCTTTTTTGTTTGCATGTCTAACTGTCAGCCATGATTATTCTAACCTCTGTTAATTAAAAGGCTGTTTATATGCATATATGCATATGTTTACGAGAAGCATACAGGCTGACAATTAGCTGAACATATACATATACGTATATTATATTGTTTAATTAGTGACACTTAGCCTGCATTTTAAAATCTTTATTTGAATGTGGCAATTAACATTTTTAAACCTAACATTGCACTCTGCAATATTTCTATGAATAAATCTCTGACAGAGACCCCTCCCCTCTCCTATCAGCCAATCACTGTGTGCATAATTAGTAAGCATGCTGACATCATCCATAGCAACAAGGTAACCCCGCTCCCTTACTCTGAGCTTAAGACTTCTCTCTATCCCTTAGTAAATGTTTGTCTCAGCAGCTTTGTGAATAGGTTTTAAGAGAAAACTCTTACTGCTATTTAGGAGAACTCTTAGCGGTAAGATCAAATGTTTTGTGAATACGGGCCCAGATGTGTTATTGTTAGGGATATAAATGTTATGAGATTAATGTTTTAAATACATTTATGATTATACAAATAAGAAATGTTGGGGGGGAAATGCATACTTTTCAACATACTAAACTAACAGTAGGTGGCAGTAAGTCACTTAATGAGTGAGTCATTGAGTCATTCATTCAACTGATTCGTTCAAAACGCTGAATCATTCAGTAACAAAACACCGCAGAGTGTTGCTTGGAGAATGTGCAATACTTCTGCTGTGATTAGAGGTGTGCGATATTGACAAAATATCTCAATATTTTCTGGGATTTTATTAATAACGTTAATTAGATGATATTTTGCTGAGTGTGTTATTGTGCTGGTATCTTAAGGACTTTCGTGGACAGCTGACTTCTGAAGTTTTTGATATTCTTCATATTCTGTGTGGTGGTCAGATAGAAATTAATCTTTTCCAATAAGTTTAAATTGATTTGTACCTTTTTCTGGGCATTTTTACCTTTATAAAGCATTTTTTTCTAAACGTGTACATTATCTTATGAGTCAAATTCTTACATTTAATCATTGAATTAGAATAATAAGACATTTGGGCTGTTACCAAGCAAATGAAATCAGTATCAAAAAAATTTGCAATGCAGAGGAGAAACAGAAGCTGCGTCTGAAGTGGCGTTTAGATGCATTTACACACTGATTAATGCAGGACATGAATGCATTTAACCTGCAATTACAAATGCATAAATACTGTTCTGATATATTAAACATAAAACGTTGAATACTGATATTTGAAATTATTTAAATAATAAAAAGATACTTTAAATGTGAAATTAAAACCGCCAGTAGGTGGCAGCAAGTCACTGTTAATAAGTGAGTCATTGCAACTGAATGTGTGGTTTTTAGGCATTTTTTCTTCTTCTTAACCCTGTGAGGACCAACTGAAACACTTCCAGTCATATGCTCTGCCTGGCCCCCGTCAGTTCTGGAAGATTTGCAGCCTCGCTAGTCGCTACCTTCGGTACAATCGGTACTTGCGCTACTGAAGAAAAACAAGTACCGGCAGGAATTTAAAATGTTTATACCGACTTAGTACCATAGTATCGGTTCTCGTGACATCCCTACCAGAAAGTACTGTCAACAGGCAGAAAAAAAAAAATACAATTTCACCATGTTTTTAGGAATAAAATGTCACATAAATCAGTGTGAATGATATATGAACAACCCCCTCTATAAAACCCTTCAGAATGTACTGTATAGCGAGGAAAATAACGAAAATTTGGTGTATGTAAGCGCGGCTGAAATGAAGTAAAAAATTCAATTGACATCTACAAATAGATAAACTGCAATAAAATAAACACTTAAGTGTGTATTTTGGTTGTCTTTTCACTAGTCTGAAAAAAAGATATTTTAAAGAAGTAAAATAGCCCAAAATCTCAAAATTGACCAGTGCATGAAAAACACTGTTTGCCTGTAGTGTCTTGCATTAACGTTTGTAAAATATTTTTAAAATTAATTTCAGTAATTGAAACACAAGTCCAAACTTTTGTCTGGTGTTAAATATGGGGTTCCCACCTTCAATGCCGTCACTATCCTGAAGCGCAGGATAATAGCTGACGTCAGGAAACTGCACATAAGGGCAATAACACATCTGTGACAGCCCAAGGCCCACGGGAAAATGCCAGCCGATGGGCTCCGCTGGTGTCTGAACCTGCTGAGAGTCTGCAAGCAAAGCCGCCAAATCAAACACTGGGCTGCCAAGGGCTTCATTCCCAGCGTCAGAATCAAACCCCAGGAAGATGTCAGTGCTGGGATGAGTGAGTCTATTTGACATGGATGAATCCACCTCACGGTCTGTTTCAGCATGTGCATCAAGCTGGTTGAATGCAGAGAGCATGTTATCAATATCTGAGTGACTCTGATATTCAATACTGGAAAACTCAGAATCATTTGTTTCTTCTAGACACCCGAGCGCTGATTCTGAGAGGTTTACGTCACTGTTTGTCCTCTCTGACCGCCGACACACTCTCACACCAACGTTTCCGTCACACACAGATGCTGCAGGAGTTTCCATCTGATTGACGTAATGCAGTGGTTTGTGCACATCTTCATGCATTTCCTCCTTGTTCAACTCTTCTGGTGTCTTTTTCAGCTCACAGACGTCTAGTAGATCTACCAGCGCTCCGTGAGGACTCTCAGTGTCCGTGCGGTTTGGATCAGGACCGGTGGATGTTTTTACCGTGCTGTTCCACTGCAGTAACAGGCCCGTCTGCTGCGGTCCAGAAAGAGCACCGCCACCATCCCAAACCTCTTTGCCATTAACGTACACAAACGGCGCCTTGCACCACAGTTCTGTGGAGAGACAGAAGACATAAAAGTGACAGATCTATTTTGGAAAAATAAACATTTTCTGAAGCAACTGGTGCTGAAAAACTACAGGTGCCACAAACAAAATAAGTACCAAGGGCATGTTAAAAAAGGTCGATTCCATCCCCACTGCACTTCTGACACGATCCCAAACGAGATCCATATGAATGCATGCAATATCCTTGTTTCTGAAATGCAATGAGATCACATGCCAACCGAAACACGCGAGTATGTCACATGGGGTGTCAGGGGCTAGTTGTCACATCCTATTGAACAAATGCTTATTTCCTCTAGTAGTGGTTTCAAACACTTCAAAACATAAATTGCAATTTTTCCAATTAAAAACAATACAGGTTTGCGGTGTTAATTTGTAAGGCAGCAGAATTTGTCCAAAATGTTGTTATTATATATCAATCAATATGGCTATAAAATAACAATATTATTATTAATATTATTAAATAAAAATCTTAAATAAAACATCTCTTCCATCTTTATTTGACCCTCTAACTCTAGCAATCTCTATTCTAATTCTATTCTTTAAAAGACTTGCCTTTTAGACTTGCACTCGATTCATTTACTGCTTGTTTTCTTAAAAAAAACTAACACTAGCTTGCTCTATTCTATCTATTCCTTTTTTTATTTATTATACAATTAACAAAAGCAAAAAGGTCTCTAACACTAGCTTGCTCTATTCTTTTTCTATTCTATCTGTTTTCTTTTTATTTATTATATAATAAAAAAACCTTGCTATGTGTACTGCGTTAAACTAACAGACATGTTATAGCACTTGTATATCATTGTTCTTTTGTTGATTTTGATTTTGATTGAAGTGTCTGCTAAATGTATAAATGTAAATGTAAAAATATACAACAAATGACTAAATAAAAACAATATAAATGTTAATATTGCAATATTTCACTGTAAAAAAAAAGTATTTAAGGAAAGTAATGACATTTATTTTACATTACAACTGTACAATTACAATACTTTATGGCTGTTAAAATGTCATAATTTTCAAATGCCGGGGGGCTTGAGTGGAAATACGTAATGTAATGCGTGTTGTAAAGATCGCGAGTAAAAACAATGAACAACGAAGCACACAGCGTCTTCACGACATGGTGGCGGTGGCAGCAACAATACTACAGCGAGAATAAAAGTTACGCCTTCTTTCTTTGCGTGAACATTTGGGCGGCGTTATGCAAATCTTCCCACATAGTGATGTAGACATGTGGGGGCGTGTTAGAATGAGGCGTTTTAGGTAGGTGTGGCTGACTCTTAACTTTTATAAAGAATATCTCTTTGGATTTGAGACTTTAGTCTTTGCAGCTTTACAGATCTTCTTTATGCACCAAGAGCTTGTAACACTCCAAAGAGAAAGGAACAATTTTAATCACATCATATCACCCCTTTAAGGCTTTTAGTGTCATACTAGAGTTATATTCCTCTTGTCTGGGTTTGTTTCAGAGAGACTGTCAGTCTGTGTGTTAGTGGCGGAGATTTTAAAGGAGATTTCTTTCTGCAGCAGCACTACAAAGAACTACTCTTTGTTACATCAGAACTACAAACACATAAAGTGTTTAAAAAAACAATTAATTTAAGTGACTCATTCAAAAAGCTGATTCATGATTCATGGTATTTTTACACTGCTATTTTTATTGGAGATGTAGCAGCAGTTAATTCTGCAGTGGATCTGAAATAAGTTCCACTGGCAGAGCAAAAACACTGGAAACAAGAGAGAAAGTATCTACCGATATTGTGTCTAAAATGCAAGTTACTGAATAATAACTTCTTTTTTTAGTGAACAGTTGTGTCCCAATCTGCAGTGTGTTCTGAATATCAGAAGAACACATATCTGGGTATAAAGTGAACAATATAAAACCAGACTGACGTAAATCATTATTACATAACTATATAATGAAAGCAGATTTGATCTAAAAAGTCAAATCTGTGTTTTATGTTTTTCAATTATTTCAACTTACTGAACACAATGTCTTCGCTTTGATACATTTGTCAGTTTTTGCTCTTTCTTTGATTCACACGTATTCACTTTTTTCTTTCAGTGTTTTCATTTATAGGCATTTATGACAAGACATACAAATAATAACTGCAACAAGAAGAAACATTGACTTTTTTACTGCTTAAAGTTGGCTGGAGAGCCTATATCGCTTAATATGCTGTTGAAAGGCAGGTCATATGTCAAATGTTAATGCTAAATAAAGCAGTTTTACTGCTGTTGTTGTTGTCTTTTAACAGTACCAGTGTAAATCTTTCATTAGTTGTCGTTGTTAATAAAGAAAGGTTTGAAAATAAAGTGTGACAACTAGCCCCGGTCTATCCCAACACCGAGTACCGCGGTATTCCCATCCGCTTTATATTCTTTATACCGCTTTACTAACGCTCAAACACACGTGCCACGACATCTACACCGACACAAGCCACGAAACACCGTCAGCGTCTTACCTGAAGCCCTGCCGATGAGCCTCGAGAGCGGATACAGCGCGTGAAGCATCACACTCGATCACGATGACCGGCGGACTGCGGAGCGACTTTATCGCGACGCTACAGCATGACGTCACACGCAGCGCGATGACGTCACGCCCTACCTGTAGTGTTGTCTGTAGTTTTTGAGCAGATGATGGCGTGCGTCCCAAAGAATGCAATATATACATAATTAAATACAGTATATAATGCAGTGCACACCAGCAGGTTTAATCCGGGCAGAAGCCACCTCATGTTTGGTTAAGGGTGTATGCTGTTGTGCTTTTGGTTTAGGGTTATTAACATTTTAGACAGGAAGTGTAACAACAAACATATTCTAATAAAAAGAAAGATTTGTATATCTTTGTATAACTAGGTTAAAGAGATCCATTCTAAAAACTCCTCCATTTCTGTTTATTCTGACATTTGTTCATTTATATTGATATATATTATACATTTGTTCATGTATAGTTTTTATATTGTTGGCACTATAACATCTTTGTCCTCAAAGATATTCTTTGTTACTATGGAAACCCCAAACAGGTTTCTCTTGAATATGTTCATTATTTTCATTTTGTATGCACAATTCTTTATTTGTGAGCAAAACTGGTGCAAGTCCTCTTTGTGTCTTCATCATTTCCTTGCTTTTCATCCCTAGACTTATAAACAGCAAGGATTTCTGAGGATGTGTTTAAAGACAGGTTCATGTTATAATAATGCGCTTCTCTGTGTGTATACATGAACTAATGTTGGTGCTGTTGTTGATATAAGTGTAGATGCTGTCAAAGATTTCATCTTGTTTTCTCTGATTATGTTTGCATATGTTTTGCAATTAAAAAAAGGGAAAAAATGATAATAAAATAAAACTTTATTGCACAGAACTTGATTTCTGAACTTATTTGTATTGTTTTCTTTGTATGCATGGATTACTTGGGTTGCTACCGACATCTGGAGAACATTTCATGTCAACAGCACCTTTAGAAATATATTTAATGAGAAAAATGGTGACCTGACAATACTTTCTGTGTGAGTTTTCGGTGACATAGAATGGAAAGATTTGCGGCTTCTAACCAATACAGTTATTTAAATCTCTTTTAAAATAATTCATAATTGTTACCTAGTAAATCATAAACTTGCTCCTTTTGTCATCGCTTTGAAGAATCAATTATTGAACTTATTTTGGGGTTGTTTATTGCAAAGTATTTTGGATTGATTTTTCACATTTGATAAAAAGCAATTTATCCCCAAACTTTTGTATCAGTCAAAAATTGTGCTTTTTGGGTGACTCTTTGAAACCAGACCAGATGTTTATAATTATTTATTACTATTTCTTGGAAAATTCATAAATGTAAATAAAAAAAAACACCTCTTTTTTATTCCCAAGGAAGATACTGATGTATATTTGAGGAATTCTATATAGGATATTTTAAGTAGTTCTAAAAACTACAAATATAAGCTATAATAATAAGAATTTCATGTACAGTAACCCTCTTACTATGTTGTCTTCATGATTGTAAATATAATTTTTTTTGCATAATAAAAATAAATTTAGATGTGTTAATGTTAAAATGACATCATTTTTGTTAAATTGTGTTTATTCTATTTACAGTATCTGTTATATATTTTATGACTGAATACGATTGTTGTTTTGAGTCCATAAAAATCAGTTTTTGTAAAGAATACTGGATGACTGACTTCTGCTGTGGTTATACGGTAAGATGGGTAAAATACATCCTCTACAAACAGCTGAAACTGCAACATACAGTACTTACTGATGAGTTTAAACACAGAATGCAACATGATGAAATAAATGGAAACAATTGCTAAATTTGTTGTAATAGCTACTGGTCAGTTATTAAAGCACAAACGGCCTCCTACCTCGGAAAAGAGTTATCAGAAGACAAAAACATCCTTGAAATTGTTCAGATGGAATACAGTAAATCTCATACTCAGATCAAAACATGTATGCATTCTCTTTCTTTTTTTACATATGTGACCCTGGAGCACAAAACCAGTCATAAGGGTCCATTTTTGGAATTTACGCATCATCTGAAAGCTGAATAAATAAGCTTTCCATTGATGTATGGTTTGTTAGGATCGGACAATATTTGAAAATCTGGAATCTGAGGGTGCAAAAAAATCTAAATATTGAGAAAATCATCTTTAAAGTTGTTCAAATGAAGTTCTTAGCAATGCATATTACTAATCAAACATTAAGTTTTGATATATTTACGGTAGGACATTTACTAAATATCTTCATGGAACATGATCTTTACTTAATATCCTAATGATTTTTGGCATAAAAGAAAAATCTATCATTTTGACCCATACAATGTATTGTTGGCTATTGCTACAAATATCCCCCAGCGACTTAACACTTTCATCCAAAGTGAGATTGCATTCAAGCTATATATTTTATCAGTTCATGCATTCCCTGGACACCTCATGCCAGATGCATAAACAAACAAACAAATGAATAAACAAATTAGTCAATCTTTGATTAATAAACATGTTTTGTTCTCAGCATGAACATACGTGAGATTAATTTCATCTAAAGTTCTTAGGATTTTTTGTGATTAAGGCAGGAGAGCATCATTTCAACTAATCATTGGCAATAACAGCTACATTAGCAAATGTGTTTCATCCATGCAGTTCATGCACTGCCGTGGCAATTCCTTTGAAACAAAAAGAGAAATGCTTCCAGACAGCACATGAATGATGATACTACTTTTGAAGTGCTTTGCTGCAGTTTGAGCAGACTGCAGGAATGTGTCTGCATGCATTTGACTAATGACTTTCTCTCTGCATGCACAGGTGGATTCCAGCAGTAGTGCAGGTGTCACATATACACCTGTTGCTAAGACACATAAACCAGCTTCATACTGGACAACACTAGACCTTCATATGACACTGTTGAACTGTATGAAGAGTGATGAAGACATCAGTGCTCACAGTCTCTCTCTGGACTCCCTCAGCTTGACCGACTATGAGAATCCACACGACGGGATTCTGGAGGATGAAGGCGACACAGAGCCGGACGCTCAGGGTAAGAACCGGATTAAAACTGTAGATCTGAATCAACAGCGCTCAAGGTTCGTGCTGAGAACTTGAGATGAGGCCTAGTACAGGATGCATAATATGCATTTAAAAAAAAAAAGTTGTGTTTATAGTTCATTTCAGTTTTGAGTATTTCAATAACCCAGAAACATGTTATCATATTTCTTTATAAATCTTTCAAATGTATTTATTTGTAATATTTAATCACATTTAATAAATGCATTTTCATTGGGACAAGGTTGAATGACACGTGCGGTAATTAAAATCTGTTTTGAAATGACTGATTGTAGTTTTATCAGTAGGACATACTACTACATTCAACATATCAAATAAATAAATAACGTAATTATTAATGCTTTGTCACAGAACCTGCGTAAGACTAATGACTAACTCTGCCACCATTAACCTCAACCATCATGGAGTCGGTCCTCTGGGAGCAAAAGCCCTGGCCATCGCTCTCGTGGTAAGACTGGCCGTTTCTGATGCTCTGCTGATCTACAGCTGATGCTCTGATGCTGATCTCAGACGCTCTGTGTGTGTAGACGGACATGCACACCACAACACTGGAGCTGGCAGACAACTCCCTCTTAGCCGAAGGAGCCAGATATCTCACAGAGATGCTGAGGGCCAATTTCACCATTCACAATCTTGTAAGTCTATTTTACTATTCTCATTTACCTGGTGTGATGAGTTTGTCCAGTAGAGGACAGCAAAGCATTAACTTCTGGCATCTTCCAGGATCTTTCTGACAATCACCTTCAGTCTGCTGGAGACAGTGCGTCACTAAGATGCTCCTGGAAAACATTTCCATTAAATCATTCAAACTTGTCAGGTTTCATGCATATATGCATACAGCACGATCAGATGGTAAACCTGATTCACAGTGAGACAGAACGCAATGTTTATGTTCACAGGGAATACATTTGCTGAAGATGAAGCCAAATGGTTTGCAGATGCGTTTCAAGTTCAAGTGCCACCGTCTGTTTATGCAACATAAATCTAGTTAAACAGATCGATCATCCAAAGATGACAATTCTGTCATCATTTACTCAACCTCATCCATATGACTTCCTTTCTTTGGCAATACACAAATGGTAACTAAACCATTTTACATTTACATTACATTTACATTTAATCATTTAGCAGTGCTTATATCCAAAGAGATTTACAAATGAAAACAATAGAAACAATCAGACCAACGAGAGAACAACAGTATACAAGTGCCATGACAAGTCTCAGTTAGTCTAGCTGCTAGACTCTAGCACAGTACACGTAGCTAGGTTTTTAAAAAATTAAATAATAGAATGGAATAGAACAGAACAGAATAGGTAAGTGCTAGTATTAGTTGGTCAGGTGCTGGCGAAAAAGATGTGTCTTTAGATGTTTTTTGAAAATGGCTACAGACTCAGCTGTTTCAAATTGAGATCGGGAGGTCGTTCCAGCAGCTGGGCACAGTCCAGGAAAAGGTCCGTGAGAGTGATTTTGTGCCTCTTTGGGATGGCACCACGAAGTGCCGTTCACTTGCAGAACGCAAGCTTCTGGAGGGCGCATAAGTTTGAACTAGTGAGTTTAGGTATATTGGTGCAGCGCCAGTGGTTGTCTTGTAGGCAAGCATCAGTACCTTGAATTTGATGCGAGCGGCTACTGGTAGCCAGTGTAACCTGATGAGGAGAGGAGCAACGTGAGCTTTTTTTTGGCTCATTGAAGACCACTCTCGCTGCTGCATTCTGGATCAGTAGCAGAGGCTTGATAGTGCATGCGGGGAAGGCCCACCGAGAGAGCCAGTCTGGAGAGAACAAGAGCTTGGACAAGAAGTTGTGTGGCTTGCTCTGACAGGAAGGGTCTAATCTTCCTAATGTTGTATAAGGCAAATCTGCAGGACCGGGCCGTTGTAGCAATGTGGTCTGAGAAGCTTAACTGATCATCGATCACAACTCAGCTTCTGGCTGGAGTTATGGTTGATTAACCCAACTGTATAGAGCAGCTGTGATGAAACGATGGGTTTGCTGGAAACACAAGCAGTTCTGTCTTAGTAAGGTTGAGTTGAAGGTGAACCTTCATCCAGCTAGAAATGTCTCTCAGACAGGCTGCAATGCGAGCAGCTACCGTCAGATCATCTGGTTGGAATGAGAAGTAGACTTGAGTGTTGTCAGCATAGCAGTGATAAGAAAAGCCATGCTTCTGAATGACAGAACCTAATGCCTACATGTAGATGAAGAAGAGAAGTGGTCCAAGTACTGAGCCTTGAGGAACCCCAGTAGCAAGCAGCTGTGACTTAGAAACCTCACCCCTCCAAGACACCCTGAAGGACCTACCTGAGAGGTAAGACTTGAACCACAGGAGTTGCTTCATTTATTTGGCAGTGTAATCAAAGCGAGTCTAAATGCGTGATAAATCACAGCTGATGGACATGGAAGTGTGTAAGTGCTATACTGCACGTTTTGACAAGTATAGTCTGGGTGTTTCTGGATACAGTAAACTATCAACAGTATGCAATATTATATAATAATGAAATGTTAAGAGTAGAATGCTAATCTGATCATGGACTAAGAGTTTCAGATTTTTTAAAACTGCAGATATTCAGATTTGATATCCAGCCTCACTTGTAGGAGGGGAAACAACTCACTTTATTTTAATTTGACGAGCAGAAAAAAATGAATGCTGGTGAATCTTTTGTGAAGGTCTGAAGCGGATCACAGCATTGAAAGGATTTATGGTTCATAGTTGTATTTTACCACCATCTGGTGGCAGCAGGAGTCATTTCTCCACATCAGCAGGTTTCTACACAACACTTGCAGTGAAATCAAGGACAGTTGACTTCAAATGTCTAAGAAAAATGAATTGCAGTGTCCCAGTTTTCACACACTTGCTACAGAAATGGACCTGCATGAAGCTGCAGAGAGCAGACGGGTCGACCGGCGCACATTTGGGGCATTATAACTTTGCACTTACTGAAATGCAATATTACTGAACACCAAACATTCAGTCATGTGTTCTGTCCTTTCCATTTCTGATTGAATGCTTCTTATGTGAGTGCATTGAATAAAACCACTCATTTCTTACCAGTTTATTGTGCTTTTCTTTCTTTCTGAGAAATGCTGCTGAAAGCACATAAATGCATGTTACCTGTCAGAGCAAATGTATTAACATGCATGTCTCAAAACCTTCTCATTAATTTTTTTTGACCTTTGAAGAGTATTAATAAATAAACCACGTGTTTGTGGAATAGTAAAGCAGGGGAGGTTTATGGTTTCTAATCTTTCAGGCGTGAGAATAACAAACCAAGTGACCTCAAAGCATCCTAAGCATGTGACCAAACTAGAAGCTCTTGTCACCACATCCGGCCCTGAACATGAAGACGTGGACCAGACTCTTGCACTGTAACTTACTTTCATATTCTCCAGAAGCCTTGCATGCGTGTTAAACAAAACCACACACACACACATCAGTAATATGTGTCCAGTGTTAGTTCCGTGTGAATCGGAGTCTGAGTGAACACAATCAATCAATGTCTTTTCTATTTCTTAATATTAATGCAAATTTGCAAAACAAAATGTTGGAACACTTCACAAACCTAACTACCAAATACCAAACCATATCCTAACAACGCCCCTCAGCTGTTATAAAATCACTGTAAACCCGTGCCTAACAACGCCGCTTCACAGGGATTATAGCTTTTATAAAACGATTATTCCATGTTTTATAAAACATAGCAATTATCTTTTCTTTTTCCGCCCATAGTGAAAATAAAGTTCCAGAGTGGGTGGAGCTTAAGTGCGGTTTTCTCGCCCCATCTCTCTGATTGGTGGAGGCTGCTTTGAGAATGTATTTTTTCCTACATCAATTCAACATGATTGTTTTAAACATAAGGGTTAGGGTAACCACTGATTAACAAAAATGTCCCTATGGAGGAAATGAATGGAGCTTTTACGGTTAAAGACTCGACTGACACAAGGCACAGAAAACACCAAGCCGTTCCCATCTAACCTTCCCAGCGATGGCCACGGGACGCTCAAAGATGCCATGCATGCCCAGAATAGCCGACTGCGGCGGGTTGATGATGGGAGTCCCGAACATGGAGCCGAACACTCCTCCGTTGCTGATGGTGAAGGTGCCGCCGTCCATGTCCTCCACAGCCAGCTCGTTCTTACGAGCCTACGACGAAAACACAGGAAAACAAGTCAGAAACTGGCACCCAATCCCACAATCTAGCAGATGTGTTCAATATTTAAATGAAAAACAGCCTTCTTTCTCTTCTCTAGTTTGCTTAATCTAGTCGCGTAATAAATCTGCTACTACACATCATGACCACTGTTGGCTCTTTGGAGGATTACTGTGTTCTTTGTATAAAAGCGTCTGCGAAATGCATAAAAGTAACTGATTAACGCTCTTAGAAATGTCATTAGAGTCATAAACCGCAGCGTTTTTCAGAAATTACACGGTTCGATTTTTCCCCTTCACTTGACATCAGTTTGACCAATGATACCACCGCTGTTTTTTTAGGTCATGTAACATATTTAGCTAAATAAAGATTTCTGGTTAGTCGCTCCATTTGCAGCTGAACAAGCGTGTCTTCAGACAGCGGCTCTCACCTTCTCTCCCAGCTCGTTAATCGCTTTCTCGATGTCTGTGAAGTTCATTCCCTCCACGCCTCTGATCACGGGAACCACGAGCCCCTGAGAGACGCAGATGAGAACGTGTTCAACACACAGGGCCCAGAAACACCTGCACATTACTACAGCGACGATGACGGATATTATAAGACTAAACATCTGCTGTTATGGAAATCATGTCACCATTCTAAAGTATGATTTTTCTGAAAGAAGTCTCTTCTGCTCACCAAGGCTACATGTGTGTGAACTAAAAACAGTAATATTGTGAAATATTATGTTTTCTATGCGAATATTTATTAGTAAACTGTAATGTATTTCTGTGATGCGCAGCTGTATTTTCAGCATCATTACTCCAGTCTTCAGTGTCACATGATCTTCAGAAATCAGTATAATATGCTGATCTGCTGCTCAAGAAACATTTCTGATTATTATCAATGCTGAACACAGTCGTGCTGCACAATATTTCTGTGGAAACCGTGATACATTTTATTTTCCAGGATTCACAGATGAATAGAAAGTTCAACAGAACAGCATTTATTTGAAATAGAAATCGGTTATAACATTATAAATGTCTCACTTCTGATCAATTTAATGCATCCTTGAGGAAAGAAAGTATTAATTTCTGCATAAGAGGCATAAATGTGCAGGATTTACCTTCGGGGTCGCGACTGCCACACTGATATATATGCTGATCTGCTTCTCGAGAAACATTTCTGATTTCTGTCGTGCTGCACAATATTTTTGTGGAAACTATGATGCATTTTATTTTTCAGGATTCACAGAAGAATAGAAAGTTCAAAAGAACAGCATTTATTTGAGATATAAATCTTTTGTAACATTATAAATGTCTTTACTGACACGTTTGATCAATTTAATGCATCCTTGATGAATAAAAGCATTAATTTCTGCACAAGAGGAATAAATGTGCAGGATTTACCTTCGGGGTCGCGACTGCCACACTGATATCCACATAATCCCGATACACGATCTCTTTGGTTGTGTCATCAATGACTGCGCAGATTAAAAACAACAACAGTTAATAGCTTCCAATATATATTTCACTTTTTCAAGTTTATATCTCACAATTGCAGTTCCACAATACACTGTGAAATAACTGGGAGGGGTGTACTCACTTCTGTGCGATACTGTATATATATATATATATATACTGTATATACAGCAGTATGTTCAAAGGAACACTGAATTTCAACTGAAACAGGAAGACAAGGCAGGACAAAAGCAGTTTTTATTAATATTTAGATTTTTTTTTCTTGTCCTGTTTTTAATTTAAAAGTTTTGGTAATTTTGTCACGTGTTTGTAATTTTTGTCTTTATATTATTTTTAATTATTTTTAGTTATTTTAGGCAACTAGCTGAAATAAAATAAGTGTAAGTTTTAATAATTTATTATACTTAACATTCATTTTATTTCAAGTAAAACTAAGCACAAAAGTAGTTAAGGTGGAAGAATACTGTGTTTATTAATATCTTTACACTTTATTTGCTCTGTTTTATTCTGTGAAACCTTACTACGTATATGTGAATAACCGTTTTATAAAAGCAGTAACCCCTGTGAAGCCATGGTTTACAGTGAATTTATAACAGCTAAGGGGGTTTTATATCTCCGCTTCGCGTCGTGCCTAACAACACCCCATAGCTGTTATAAATTCACTGTAAACCACGGCTTCTTGGGGCTTATTGCTTTTATAAGGAACAGTTACTCGCTCTCATGTCGTTCCAACTTTTCTTCTGTCAAATTCAAAAGCAGATGTTTCGCAGAATGTTCACGCTGCTCTTTACCGTCCAATGAAAGCGTACGGTGATAACGGCAGTACATGTGACTGGTGCACTATTTTCCAGGTCTCTGAAATCATGTTTTTGTGTGAGAAACAGACTGAAATCATCAGAAGACTTCAGAAGTGTATTTATAACGGTTAAGGTATTTTACATTCCATTTGGGAGACTGGCAGACATGGTTACCATGAACTGCTTAAAATACAATTAATATTCAGTGATCTGATGGATTAAAACCACTGATCTATTGAAGTGCACTGCACTGAACTACGGCTTCGAAAGTGTGCAGCGACGCCTGCAATCAGCCTGATAATTAAAATGAGGAAAATGTGTGTTTGGTTGAGTTTTAGAGAAGCGCTTCAGTTTACAGATGTTCATCCAGTCAGCATTACGAACTATACTTGGATTATTTGAAACAATCGTATTCTCTTTAGCCGGACATTACTGAATATGATTGGAATATCTGAAACAATCATATTGGTTTTAACGGTTACCCTTTCAAACACATTAGATTATCATATTTTGTCAACAGCTCAAATGGCAAAGCATATTGCTTTTACATGTTTCTTTTTCAAAACAGTGATACGTTTAATAATCCAAGTGTTATTTTTCTCATCACCAGCACATTTGTATTAAAACCATTTAATCGCCATGACACGCACACCCACAAAAATGCCCATTCCTAATTTCTATTTTATTTAATTTTAATAATCCCAGGAAAAACTCTTCAGCTGCATCAAGCTAACTTTGAGCATTTAAGGTGCGTCTCCTTTCTGAAGCACTGATGGAGGATGTTGTGGACAGCAGTCTGGCCAGGTTTTGAGTGAAAAGGGCCGAGACTGTAATTCTCTATTTTCCTGTCTCTAACACCGTTTAGCCTCTCCGGTTTCTCCGCTAACGGAATTAGGACCGTCCCAAGACACGCGCTCTCAGAGAAAGGAGAGAAGACGTGATAAAAATCTTCACTTTCCAGAGGCTTCAAATCTTATTGGCCTGTCATAATAGCCCATAACGTTCCCATAAGCGTCTCGCACGCTCCCTCCGCAGGCGCGTCTCGGGGGACACCGAGGCAGATGCTCGCGGGCCGCAGACGAGCACGCTCCTTCGACTCCAGACCGGCAGAGTCTTCCTCCAACCCATCGATGCCAACCAGATTAGCGGCAGAACGGCTGAAAGCCAATACGGCCATTTGCGCTGGGGAGAAATCCTCAAAGTGTCCTCTTCAGGGGTTAGCGAGGGAGGTTGTGGACATTAACGTTTCCTTGTAAATTAATAAAGCCCATTTTGCCCTTCTTATCTTTGTTTTGACCAACATTAGGACCAAATATTTACATTCCGCGCTTTAAGTGGCGATCGGGTTTCAGAAATCTCTTCCTGTAGGACAGATTCCAATCTATAACCATTTGGATGGGCATTGCGGAGCTTCTAATCAGGTTTGGCCAATAAGCAAAATTTTCACAGGCCCGTCGACAGACCTTCCTTTCAGGCTTACAAGTCTGTTTTGTGCACAAATTAGTGCTGTCAAATGATTAATCGCATCCAAAATAAAAGTTTTCGTTTACATAATATATGTGTGTATACTGTGTATATGTATTATGTATATAGAAATACACACACATGCATGTATATATTTCAGAAAAATTTTGTTTTTATATATTAAATATATTTATTTATAATATAAATTATATGAATATAAATACAGACACGTAAATACATGTCAATATTTTCAAAATATATACATGCATGTGTGTGTATTTATATATACATAATACATATACACAGTATACCAAAATAAAAGTTTTTGTTTACATAATATATGTGTGTATACTGTGTATATTTATTATGTATATAGAAATACACACACATGCATGTATATATTTCAGAAAAATTTTGTTTTTATATATTAAATATATTTATTTATAATATAAATTATATGAATATAAATACAGACACGTAAATACATGTCAATATTTTCAAAATATATACATGCATGTGTGTGTATTTATATATACATAATACATATACACAGTATACACACATATATTATGCAAACAAAAACTTTTATTTTGGATTAATCGCGATGCATCGGCATAAAATTCAACGATGCAATGCATTGATTAAAAAAAATATAAGTTGGCATTTGTATCATGATGCATTGTTTCTCTGCATTGATGAAACCGATCTATTTATATATAATAATTAGTAGATGCGCTATACTGTAATTATGTTGAAAGTGAGCAGTAATTTGTGATCAATATTTTATATTTAAATAGACTTCTCCTCTCTAAACTGAAGCGCGGTCTCTCATCACCACTGCTGCTACACGAATACGACGTATCACAACACTACAGAGACCGAGGCGAGTCCCGAGAGTCACATAGAATATAGATTAACATGGCTGTCTGTCTGAACCAAAGAAATAAAAGCGAACTATCTGTATCATATTCAATGGCATGGCATCATATTTTTACCATTGCATGAAACGAATCGAAATTGGATTGCACTGCATCATAACAGGTGAATCGTATCGCATTGCATCCATAGCTGCTTCATATGTATCTTTGATGCATCGTATCACTGGGAATGCATCAATATGCATATCGCATTGGCCTCAGTTATGGAGATGCACATCCCTAATATGTATGTAACTTTAACAATGATTTATTATTACTCTTTTTTTTATGCACCGAGTTGGAGTATATATCTAGACATAATAGTTCTCAGTTGAAAATATTAATTCCTCTATTTTAATCGATTCTCATTTTGATGAAACAAAATGATCGATCCTTTCAGATGATCCGTGAACAAAACATCACTAAACATTATTTGTAGCACGCCTGACATCTAATAATTGCAATAAGCTTTGTGTAGCCTCACGTGAACCGATCACATCTTCCTCTTTACTACTACTTACAGCACCAAATAAACATTAACATCAAGGGTTGATCTTGAAAGAAAAAGAATAACTTACTGAAATGAATCATGTCTCATGTAATCAATCAGTAAGTGTTTTAAGAGCAGAAAGATGTCAATAAAACAGTTTATGATCAATGTCACGCTACATCACGTTTATCTCAGGAAAGACATTCAATGTCCATAAACTCGATAGAAAACAATAACTCTAAAGAGGAGCATTTTGATAAATATATGCATTATATTACATATTATATTTTGTACTGAACCCGTTTTGTACTGAATGTTTATATTTCAACAACAAACTGGAGTAGAAACAATTATATAATTAAAAATGAATTATAATACATTTTTATTATAAAAACGGCCTTATGTGCAATTTAAATATTTGTTTACAAATCAATTGAATATAGTAATATAGTAATGTACCAAAAGAGGGGGATAATTTTATAGTTTACAGCTTTAGTTTGATGCACAATAATCGAAATGAATTGAGATCAAAAATACAGGCTCAAATGGTGAAATTTTTCTCAATACCTAGCCCTAGTGTCATGTTTCCATCTTCACACTATCCCCAGACTTCCATTTGTGCTATTTCAAAGTTAATCACTTCTTTACTCCGAGATGTAGAAGATCCTGATAACAAAACTGTGTACTAGGTGAGCACCAACCTTTGACTGGCAGGGTATTAAAAACACATTTCAAAGAACCAGTGACTGTATAATCTGGAGTAGGCTGGTTTGCTTTTACAGGAACAAACCTCATATCGACTTCATTGAAGGTTGTGAGCATGGCACAGGTGGTCTGCGCTTCCTTCAGCCGCTGAGCGATTCGCTGTCTCATGCGGTTCATCTTCACCTGCAACAAAACCACAAAAGGGCTGAGAAACAGAACACGGGGCCTCAGCAGAATTTGTGCCATTTATTAATATCAGTTAACACTATTAAAGGAACACTCCACTAATTTTGAAAATAGGCTCATTTTCCAACTCCCTTAGAGTTAAACAGTTGAGTTTTACCGTTTTCGAATCCATTCAGCCGATCTCCGGGTCTGGCGGTAGCACTTTTAGCTGTAGCTTAGCATAGATCATTGAATCTGATTAGACCGTTAGCATCTCGCTCAAAAATGACCAAAGAGTTTCAATATTTTTCCTATTTAAAACTTGACTCTTCTGTAGTTACATCGTGTGTCGCAATGATATTACGCAGCGCCTGAAAATAGTCCCCAGCACGCTCCCTGTGCAAGCAGGTGGTCACGTTAGTTATGTTGACAGAAGTTAGCCTATTTTCAGGCGCTGTGTAATATAATTGCGCCTGCTGCACCAATGTTACGGCAGCAAAGTTCCTTGATTATTATGCCGGAATGAGAG